GGTCAGAAGACTGTCTGTCAACAGTTTAGATATGTTTTGGGATCAAAATGGATTCATCTTACAGGTTTACAAAGCAGCTCTGAGTTTACTGCACAGTGTTTATACTGGATTTAGACGAGCTTTACTTGGAAAAAGTGCAAACGTTGCTTTTAAGAATTTAACAGCTATCATAATGATACTAATCCTGACTGTTTTGACACCGAGCGAGTAACTAAGAGAAGAAATAAACTTTACACTCAGACCTGGAGGTTCGGTTTCTTTTTTTTTTTAAATAAGAATCGGGTTTTGTTCTGTGCAGTCCAAAGGTCTTTCTTCTGCTTGCACCCTGTGGTCAATCTGTCAACTAGCGGTTATAGAGTCTCCTTTAGGAAACACACACTCCTGTGTGATCTGTAAAACTGAAGCACGGACCACTTTAACCTGTACCAAATCTAATTTTTGTATCGTGCATAAAACATTGATATGAATTCCTTCTTTTTCCTCCTTTCAGCTTGTTGGAAACCTTGAACACCAACCATGTCACAGCTGAGTGGGAAAGTCCAGACCGTCCTGGGTCTAGTTGATCCGGACCAACTTGGCCGCACTATGACCCATGAGCACCTGACCATGAGCTTCGAGTGCTGCTACTTCCCCCCTCCTCCAGGTGATGAAGCAGTGGCAGAGAACCCCTTCCACATGCAGCACATGCACTGGCTGAGACAGAACCCGTACAGTTCTCACGAGAACCTGCTGCTGCTGCAGGAGACCAACGCGGTGAGGGACGAGCTGCTGGTCTACAGGAAGGCTGGCGGGGGCACCATAGTGGAGAACACCACCACTGGCATCGACCGAGACCTGCCCACCCTCAGACAGCTGGCAAAGGAGACCGGGGTCCACATTGTCGCAGGAGCCGGGTACTATGTGGACTGCACCCACACCGAGGCCACAAAGAGGATGAGTGTGGAGAAGGTATGAAACAGTCTGAGAAAAAGAAAACATATTTGTTGGAAGGTTATAAACTTTTATAACTAGAGATGTTCCAATACCACTTTCTCAACCTGATACTGAATCCAATACTTCTCCCTGAGTGTAGACGGATGCTAAGTACCCCTCAGGTACTGGTGGGGACACTGATGTTGACATGCTTTGAGAGGGGAAAAAAAGAATTAATTGGATAAAATGTATAAAAAAAAATTAAAAAAGAGTGAGCATGTAATTAATGTTTCAAGGAAATGACAAACTCTAAATATCTCCATCAAAACAAGACTTCTCAAACTACACTTGTTGAAGTTATTGATAGTTTTAGCAGAGACCTTCAAAATGACATTTTTGTATTTTTGATTGATAGGATAGATACTGTTGAAAAAGTAAAAGTCAAGTGATGAATAAAAAATCTATTTTGATTTCATGGATACTTTAATGAGTGTGTGTGTGTGGAACTTGCTACTGGTAAGTATGTTGCAGTATGGAGTTGTTGGTGTATGAACCTTTCTGTTTTTATGTGCATAAAGAGTTTACATGTAGTCTTTATGGATATTTAAATACAATCAATCCTGACATCTCTGTTTGTGGCCTTCCAGTCTGTTAAAGGGACACATCAAAGAGTCTTTAACTAGTCTTTTTAAAGGATTGATGCCATCCTGCTTCATTTCCTTGTCTCCTGCACGTCAGCTCACAGATATCATTGTCGGCGAGGTGCTTCAGGGCGCGGATGGCACCGACATCCGCTGCGGCGTGATTGGAGAGATCGGAACCGGCTGGCCAATCACAGAGAGCGAGACGAAGGTGCTGAAGGCGACCGCTCATGCTCAGGCCCAGCTCGGCTGCCCTGTCATCATCCATCCCGGCAGGAACCCCGCTGCTCCAGCTGAAGTTGTCCGGATCCTTCAGGAGGCTGGCGGGGACATTAGCAGAACTGTCATGTCACATCTGGACAGGTAAAAAGTTCTCCAGATCAACTTTTTATTCGTTACCATAGAAGCATAATAAAATGTTCCTTCATTTTACAGTCCCAGAAGAACACTTCCAGCTCTGTATGCTGTATCGACATTAGTTTTCCTTAAAGGTGCACTATGTAGTTTTGATAGAGAAATGGGAAAGTTGGAGAAGTGTAAAGATTCTGTGGTATATGTTCATAACTCGATACACAAACTGTCCTCAGAGGAGAATCTGGTCTCTGGTAAAATGTTTGAAGATAAAATACTACGTGAGAAGTGATGGTGGGCCCACTACTGTGAAACCTTAACTCTCCTGATAGCTTTTTGAGCTCCAAAAGAGTTCCAGGGACCCTTTTTTTTTCTTGGAATAAAGTTTGTTTATTCAGTTCAGAAAATATAGCATAGAATTGTTTCACTTCTCCAACTTTCAAATTTCACTACCAAATCTCCATAGTGCACCTTTAAAAATCAAGTTGAAGACGCAGTTGATGTCTGCTGATTTTCCTAAGAGATCATTTTGTTGTTAACTTAATCCTAGTTATTGTGCATACTGTTGTATAATATTGGTAAAGTAATCTCCTAAAGTCACCCTAATACTTAAAATGAGCCTGGTTGATACCTTCCTTTATTACATTTCATTGTAAATCTATACTTTTGGATGGTTGGTCACTAATACAAAGGTGCTAATCTGGTTCTTTCATATGATTTCTAAGGGCATACACAAGACTTTCAGACTTGCACCCCCCCCCCCTTCAGTTGTCCTTTATTTGAGAAAAAAGCAGCTTTTATCATGACAGCGGTGATCAGTTCCTTTACTGTGTGCAACACAACTTTTTAATTTAAATTGATGCTTTTTGTACTTCTGCGGTTGAAAATAATAATTTAATTCACAGAGAACTTCACTAGTTCAATATCAGAGAAAGAAATAATTTAAAGGTTTATGGGATAGTTTGGTTTGAGGGTACACAAGGTCTCTGTAACATATCTTTTATTACCTGCTTTAAAAAAGTTTGATTTTTCATTCCACACTTGGTTCAGAGATATGATGGACCTGCTCTTCACAGAAACGTTTATTCACAGCTGGGTTTTTTTCACACTCTTAAGAGGGCTAAAAGAATGTACTGTAAGACATTTTTAATTCAGATCTTGATAAGCCTTGAGGCACACATCACCTTTGTTTTTTTTTCTTCATGCAGGACCATATTTGATGAGGGGGAACTGCTGGAGTTTGCAAAGCTGGGCAGTTATCTGGAGTACGATCTGTTTGGAACAGAGATGCTAAACTACCCGTACAACCTGGAGTTGGACATGCCCAGTGACAGCCAGAGAGTGCAGACGTGAGTAACAACAGACAGGGTTCCACCTGTCTTTCAGTCCCTCAATACTTTGATAATATGTCTGTTTAAATTTGAGACCTTTCCAGAGTCCAGATGTGGAGCTAGAGTCTACATGTGGTTTGTTTCATTTTGAACAAAATGCTGCTTTTAGTGTAAAACTACGAGACTGATCTCTCTGTAAAAGCGAGAGGGAGGAGTGTGTGTGTGTCAGCAGGATGAGTGATGAATGGATAATGTTGCAGATGCTGGTTGGCACATACAAAATACAGGTTTGATAACACATGAAGGCAGATTGACCGCGGTGGTTCCTCTCCAGTTTTGTAACATTTTTGTCTCTTTTCTGTTTACGTTTCTGTAGCTTGGCGTTCCTTGTGAAGGAGGGCTATGAGGACAAGATATTGGTGGCACACGACATCCACACTAAGAACCGTCTCACCAAATATGGCGGCCACGGCTACTCTCACATCCTGAAAAACATTGTGCCAAAGATGCTAACGAGGGGCATCTCCCAGCACCAGGTGGATAAGATCCTCATCGACAACCCAAAATGCTGGTTGACCTTTAAATAAAGCAACAACGCTAAAACTGAAGGACCGGTAGACATTGTTCTGATATGTCATTTTATTTGGTGAAGAAGACAAACACCCTACAGTTACAACTTGGCGATTTTAGCAATAATCACTGTCGCAGAGGGGTCTTCAATGTGCTTCACAGCCTCGATTTTAGTTGTGTAAATTTGTCTTTATGATCATTGATTGTAATTTTGCAGCAAAGCCGAATGTTATGTTTCTGTCTTTTCAATGGGAAATGATCACGAGCTGCTGTTTCATCCAGCTGAAAGAGTTTTGAAAGAGGCGTTATTAATCAAAACTTGATTTACATTTGTAATAATACATGATTAACTTTGTAAGCTTATTATGTGAAAGCGCTTTGCAGGATCACAGTGCCTCTCGTACTTAACCTCGTCCCACACGTCACAAAAAAAAAAAAGCTTTTTAGTCGGCAGGAAGGTAAATGCAATCTAAGACAAATATTTCCCTCTCTGGTGCTTAAAAACATGGTGCTAAATGAATTTGTCAACTTCAATGTCAACGTCGCTGCTGCTTTCTTTGAATTTCGAAAGCGACGTTTCCGCTAACACACTTTCTGGGGATGAAAGCAGCGAGCGTGTTGGTAATCAGTATGCTGCTCTGCTCTCGACACAATGCGGCTGTGTTAGATGAGTTGTCCTGTTGCCCCTCAGTGGGTGTCTGGGTGTCTCTGGGAGGCTGAGTGGCTGGCAGGCCCCAGATGAAGGACATGTTCTCCTCTCATCTGGGAACAGGTGGCCTCACAGGGTGACTTCTCACCACAGGATCAGGATCATCCGCAGTACCTCAACAACTGTATAACTTTGATTAAGCTTTAGAGAGAATTAACAAAGTGAGGCAGAGGACTGGAGTTTTACACATTATTTTAACACAGTCTTATACAGAGGGGCTTCACAATCAGCAGGCAGATATACAGTATGACTAACCCCGAGACCGCCCTGGTGCCCAAACCATGCAGCTGTCATATATGGGGACAAGAAAATGAGTTTCAGGGATTTTCTTCAGACAAAAAAAAAACATCAGAATGGCCCTAAACACTATCTTATAAAGTAAATGTCACTTTTATAATCATGCATCAATACCGCTTTTACATGTCACTCAAAAAATGTGACCACTCTTAAATATGTCAAAAAATAAAGCACACATGGACTAACTTCACTGTGACAGGTTGGTGATTATGTATCGTTTAACTGAATGTCTCAGGTCAATTCTTTCTCTCAGCAGGTGCAGCCACAGCATGTTTGACACATCAGCAAACTTATTATTTTAAAGCTAAGCAGTTCATTCAGGGTGCAATAGCAACACTAATGAGTTTGGCAGGGTTACATTTCATTGCTGTACATTTTATAATCCGTGATAATATTCTGAAATTACACTGAGGTACAGTTTTTTTTTTTTTTACGCACGACGTCCTCCACATCCTCCCCCCTTTTTTTTTTTCAATATTCAAATGTTGAGCTCTGTCTTTTGTAATCCAACTGACATGGAATCGAGCATGAGCAGTGAAGCGAGCTGTTTCCACTTTCTGTTTCAATCAGCGTACAACATGAAGCCGGAAAACGTGCTGTATTTGTTGTTGTTGCCCCCGTGCGCCTTCCCTCCGTCGAGCTTGATGTAAATCTCGTCCCCGGGCTCCAGGTGCAGGACGACACTGTTGCTGGCGTAGTCGTAGTTCTGGTCGGCGTCTTGGGCGATGGCACTTGCTCTCACCTGGAAAGCAAAGTTAATATTTTTTGGTGAAGCGTAACTTTTTTGAAATCAGAACGATGGATGGTCCCAACAGCTTCGACAGATCAGTCATTTTCATTACAAACTGATTACAAACCTTAGACTTCTTAAAAGAAAAGAAAAAAATTAGATTGTTCCGGGGAATCTAGTTGGAGTCTCTTTCCGGATACTGCTGTGCGTAAAACCTGTGCGTAAAACTTAGCTCTTAAATGACGTCTTTTCACTGTGTATAAAATAGACTTAAAACAAACCTAAAGATCATTTGATGATAATTTCACAAGGAGTCCTACCTGGTTGTTCTTGCAAAGGTCAGCCCACATGCTGGTCCCATCTCCGCCTCGCATCAGCACATGGTAAACAAAGAAGTAAATCCCGGGTATTGAGCAGGTGAATTTCCCTGAAGCGGGGTCGTAATGGTTGCCAAGATTTGTGACTACATCGTCGAATTTCAACACTTCATATCCCTCGTGCTGCTTCTTCAGTCCGGCGTAAAACGCGATCTTTGGGATAGTATTGTAGGTGGCAGCGCTGATGGCACCATTTGGCCCATTTGCTCCGGGGGACCCGGGTAGACCGGGAGGGCCGGGTGCCCCTCTCTCTCCGGGAGGACCAACAGATCCAGGGGGTCCAGGCTCGCCTACCGGACCCCTCGGACCCATTCTTCCCACGCGTCCAGGCTCACCTTGAGGACCTTGGATGAACGTCGGCAGCGACTGTGCCAGGCGGTTGTCTTTAATCGGGTTGGTTGCCTTTGCCGTGGCGGTCGCCGCTGTCCCGTGGGAGTCACACACCATTTGACAGGAGCCGAGCATCTCATAGCGGGCAGGAGTCCCGGCGGTGTTCACCAGGACCGGGATCAGAACCACCAACACCAGCACCAGCGCTACTCCACAAACACCAGTTGCGATCATCTGCGCTCTGCGGATCCGCGGTGTTCTCCGGTGTGGATGGTCTTCCAGTCTGCTTGTTGGCGGTATTTTTGCAGAGGGAAAAATGTCACCAGGTCTCTTATTATACTGCCACGTGTGAAGATAAAATAGTCCCTTAAATGTGTATGCGTAAAAGTAACCATCCACAACTTTTTACGCGCAGCAGTATCCGTCAAACTGATTCATCTCCGTTGTCTAAATGCTAGAAAAACAACAAAAGTCTGTCCGTGGGGGGGAAACTTCACCTGATACGTCTCTTTTTCATTCAGCACTAAGTCACAGCCGCATAAGTTTCTGCCCACCTCGATTCCACGGGAGAGAATGGGCAAGAAATTAACCTGCGTCTGTGTTTAGAGAGGGAGGGGAGGGGTGGCGTGGAGTGGAGGTGATGGATGGGACAGAATCCACGCGTTATTTCAATCAAAAGAGAGAAAGTGAAAAACATCCAAACTCTGATGCAACATCGCAGCTCTGAAACGTGACCACTTTGTGTTGTGCACTTGTTTGTGTCTTTGAGCGACTTTGTATCGTTACAGCAGCTTTTTAACACAGTCAGTATGCATTACTTTTTTCTATTGATTACTGTGACGTATACATCCCACAACACGTTATTAGAACTTACCCAAACAGCTCTTAAAGGTCTTGAGCATAATTAGGCCTATTACGGACCAAAAGCGATACTCCTCTGGCACCTGGTCACACCTCAGTGGCGCCCTGTGTCCAATTTATCATTGGGAGAAAATCTATAGAGCCACTGAGAGGAAAGGGGGGAGTCACTGGGAGATATCTGGCAGTGAAGGATGACTTCACACAAATATACTGATGAAATGACTGAATGTAGATGCATTTAGTGGGGAAATAAGGTGGGATCACTTCATTTATTAACCAAGAGAAATCAACAATTGAAGCTGTAGCTTAAAAAATCTGAAATGTTGATTTCAATTTCACAATAAAACACAAATAACTCATATTTTTAGTCTCTGATTTTACACGATTTATAAAATGATCAAAGCCTATGGATTCATAAGATACAAAACTAAACATTCGGTCAAGATGAAACTTCAGCACAGTGGTTTTTTTGTGAGTGATGAAGGGCTAATTGTTGGTGAGGAGGGCAGATGATGATGTGCTCATGAATGCAGAGGCTGACACTGTTCGATGGCTCCTACTTACTGCCTGGTGGAGAGATGGATGAACGGGGAGGGAAAACAGTTAGCCTTGTTTGTTTGGGAGGAGCGAGGCTTTGATTGTGGCCTGAATGAGATTCTATGAAAGCCGTGAATACAAGTGCTTGTCGAATCATGATCAGAAGAAGTTTCACAGAAAAATGTTGGATTAAAACAAAGATATTTTTACAGATATTGGTTGTAAAAACGAACTATATGAGCTGTATGAGTTTAAACTTACTTAATAAGAGTGGTTTATGTATAAATACTTTCTGTTAGTTATCATTACTTCTGCTGCTTGTTACATCTTTATTGGTCTCATGAGGCATCCCATTTAACCACCAAGTATGGTTATTCTTGTCAGGAACCTTTTTTGTTTGACTTCAAAACAGCACATGACAACACAGTACATCAAGGTCAAATTAAAAAAGTTAAACAACATTTGACATCCATACATGTCAATGACAATAAGCCTTTAAGAATCACAGCAAAAATCAAAAGCATCTATGTAAGAGTGAAAAGAACAACAAAGATGTTGTTGGCATAAAAGACGGAAATATGTCTGCTAAAAATGTTATTTATTAAGCTGCTTCTTAGAAAAGCTGCTCCACGTAATCAGTGAAGAGCATGTCATATTTTCAGTTGAAAACATTTGGAGTAAAGTTGAGTTGCTCTTCCAAGCCGAGGACACAACATGGCCTCTTACATAAGAGGGAGGACAGGAAGCTTTTCAAGCTAAAAAATTCAGATTATATAAAGCAATGTGAAATGCTTTTGAAGGTACATCGCCAAATATAACGATGAATTGATTCAAGTCTGTTTGTTTATAGTGAACGCAGATGAAGACACCCGCTCATTAGCTCAAACATATCAATAAAATATACTGTGCTCGATTTTCACTCAGCACAGAATTCTTGAAAGGTCTGTTTTTTCTGTAAACTACACAGCAAGTTATATTATTTCTCTTATATTTACACGACAAAAAACCTCCAAAAGGCACCGATAAACAAACATGTAGGAGATGTTAAGTTCAGTGACTGAATGAGCTGAGGTGACACTTAACAGACATTCTGCAGCGTCAACCTGTAACCCAAAGCGACCAAATCCCTCATTTTGCAAAACGTTAAGCCTTAATTTTATTTATTCGTAAAAATACATCGTCCAAACAGTTGTCAGAACTATTAGAAAACTAGCTTTAATGACCAGAACCATTTTTATACCAGGCATTTAAATGTGTTAACATATTTCTACTGTAAAGTTTGGCGTTGTAATACTGGGCTTAATGGGAATTTACTCATTTCTGGAGCCAGACTCAAGAGGCCACCTAGGAAACTGCTGGGTTTTTTTTCTGGGCAGTTAAAGCTCCTGTAATGAGGTACAGAATATCACAGAGATTTTTGATTATTCCTATAATATGTTGTAACCACAGCCAGGGTATTTGCCAAACAAACTGAGATACAGCACACCGCAGAAACCGCCTGTGATTAGATTTCTTAAGTAAACATTCACCATGACTGATACGAGACTGACCGTGCATATTTCAGCAGAAATTATATTTTAAATTATTGTACAGCACTTTGAATGAAAGCGCTTTATAAATAAATGTATTATTATTAAGAGATATTATGATGTAAGTGTACTGCTTTGGCTGGTTGGTTGGTTGGTTGGTTGGTTGGTTGGTTGGCAGGTTAAGCATCAAGCTGAAAGCATTGCTGTGTCTTTGTATTGTCTTACAGAAATGCTGGCATGGCAGTATGAGTTTTGAGGCTAATAAACTCAAGAGACTGTTACAGACTCAATGGTTATTCAGAGAAAAGAACAGCTAGAATTTGAAAATCCTTAAAAGCAGAATAATAGAGATCTTAATAGATTTACAATGACATTCTGACAGATTTTAACATGACTTGAAATAATGTTTGCCCATAATTGAGACATGATTTTTTCAGGGTAATATTTCTCTTACAATTACCTCTATGGAGGAAAAGACTAAATGGTTAATTTTCTTTAACGTTGACTGTTGGTTTATTTCATTCATGCTTCTCTGTAACTGATGACAGTTGCTTGGGTGGGCAATGTGTATGATCTAAAATACATGATCTTTTCTAAAAGATCACACATTTTCTGTGGGATGGGTGCAAAGTGGTAAATAGACCAGTATATAATAGATAGTATATTAAGACACACATAGACACTCACACTCACACACAGTAACAGTGGGACATACTGTGGCGGCTATGAGTCAGTGAGCACTTGTTAGCGGTCAGGCTCTTTCCCTCCAGTTGGCACGAGCCTCCGGTGACTCAGGGAGACTTGTCGACCGGGAGCCAGAGTGAACAGCCGTGTCAAAATCCACCAAAAGCTGTGAGAAGAAGAAACAACTTGTAATAGAAAGACTCTCACAGTATTACACCGACTGAATCAAAAATGCACCTTCTTTTCTGTTCTGATTTAAACCACCTCACACGTGTCAAAAGTTGACTTTCATCACTCTTTTTCAAGCACAGGATCTTAGCTACACAGCTCACCTCCGCGGCCATACTGAAAGATTCTTCCGGTGGTGCCGAGAGCTGACAGGTTGTTTTGAGTCTGGACTGTTGGAGTTCATTTACAAGCAGTCGGGCAGGAGTCCTGGGGGAGCCTGATGATTTTTGACACCCGGACAAGCAGATGTTCAGAGGACATGAATAAAACATCCCTCCCATCTGACCGCAGACTGCAAGCTTTTGCAAGTATCTAATGAAAATATGAGGCGTGATATCAATTCGCAAAGACAAAAAAAAAAAAACGGTCTTTGTCAGATATCTGAGATGCAACATGAAATATGTATGACACCTAAGTAGCCTGAGCTGATTGGCTAAGCAGGATTCAGCTGTGGTTATGACAATCAAAGCTGAGACAGGTTCATCAAAGAATCCATGAGGTGAATGGACAGGAAGCTGAATGGATCTCTCATTATCAGCCAGGAATATTTAAACAGAAATATTATATGACCATTGACACTCAAGTGTTTATCCACTGATTGAAGAGCTCGGCAGCCATGAGATGCATGTACCTCAGTGCTTTTCATGCCTTCTGCTCTTTTAGAATTTGAGTGCTTATTTCTTGCTTCCAGCGAAAAGGCTGGGCTAAACAGTTCAGCTCAGCAGGGGGGCAGAGGGAGGGATAACAGAATGCGTGACCACACCACCCACGCAAAGCTGCTCCAGTGGGCCTACTGCATTTAAGACGGAGAAGCAATCACAATCACGCAGGGTGGGGACTTTGGTTTCATGCTGGAGAACATTTCTTTTCATTCAAGTGGAACTCAAGGTGTGATTAGGGATTGTTTTGTTTGATTTCATCTTTTACTTCCAGTTTATGAGGAACCAATTTTTGAAAAGCTTCGTTTTTAGTTTGTGTGCAAGTCCTTGTGTCAGTGTTGCGGTTCTTTTCAAGAGTTCTCAATGTTTATTGTATACGTGAAGCTCTGAAAGAAGACTTTTAAAAAAAAAAAAAACTTAAAGCAATGAGTAAGAGGCTCTTAAAATACAATTATGATTCGCACTTCTTCCCACATAAAGGGAAAGAATAGGATAAGAGAAATTCAACGTTAACACAGATTATTCAGAGCTACTAACATATTCCTGGTTATTGAAATAAAAAAATCCCAGTTCCTGGATTTAAATTCAAAAACTCTAAGCATATGGAGCAGAAACACTTCAGTCTGCAGATATTGTAGACTAGCACTGCTAACATGGGAGACTATGAAATCCCTTAAAATAGACCATAAACTATCCCAAACAAGGCACAGCCTGATCAACTGCCTCACACAAAGGAGTGAAAACAATATATTTTCTTGGATGCTCTAATCACATTACCTGAAAAATGTCCTTCTATCAAGTCATTAACATCTGTAAAATGTGCCGTCATACTCTCATTTCCTTGGAACAAAAGCGGAAGCCACCCAAATGTAAAAAATGTATTTTACAGAATCAAAGTTCACATTTTGTGCATCATCAACCTTACTGTTGATTTCATGTTTCA